ATATATATATGGATTAAAAAATGAAATGACCAAAAAACCCTCATATTTATTTTAAAATTCACATTGTATAATTAAAATAAAGTAAACATTTAACAAAAAATAATTCATATATTACTAATCCATATATTACTAATCCTTATATAACAATTCTTTTATAATTAAACTATGCATAACAAAGTCATGCATAGCTAAATCATGCATAACTAATTCTTACATAACAAATCTCTACATTACTAATACCTGTATAACTCTAACCAACAACCAAATGACCCCTGAATGTTCTTCAGTAGGGGGTCGTATATTAGTTACCAATAATAATCTAGGAGTAGAATTTGAGATTATATTTATTTTAGGATTGATTATAGTTATAAGCTAATATCAGTATAAATTTATACCAAAATCTAGGTATTAACTAACTCATATTAGATGTGGGTAACAATTCCAGGATCATCATGAGATTATATATTAATCACTAGTAACCCTCTTGACACCAAACGACTCACTACTTTCATATATAATAATGCAATTTTCTTTCTTAAATATAAATATGGAAAAAGGATGAAAAAAATAAGCATCCCATGAAATACATGCCACAGCTATATAATGCCCATTGATCTTAAAATCATGCCTTGAGAATAACGTGGTCCAACAATTCTATTAATTGCACTCGTTTTCCACGTCAGAACGTGTCTATTTTCACTTTTTTTTTCTTCTTTTTAAATGAGAGGGGCCTCTTCTGTCTTTGTTTATGAATTTATATTGATATTGTTATAAATATATTATATTGTGGATGTTCATTTAGTACTCCGTTGTAAATAAGCTTCCTGAAGAAGCTTATCCATATGGGACTCCGTCGTTAATATGTTTATCTATTGAGTACTCTATTGGAAATAAGCCTCCTGAAGAAGCTTATCACTTCGGTACCCGGTTATGGATAAACATTACCCCCGGTAGAAGATTATCTATATCGGGTATAATAAGCTTATCCTTTCGATACCCGGTTGTGGATAAACATTACCCCCGGTAGAAGATTATCCATATCTGGTATAATGAGCTTATCCTTTCGATACCCGGTTATGGATAAACATTAGTCTCAGTATAAGATTATCCATATCTGGTACAGTAGCAGCTTACACAGCAGCTTACAGTAGCAGCTTACACAGCAGCTTGTAGCAGCTTACATAGCAGCTTCCTTTCTTCTATAAATAGAAGAGATATCAGTTCATTATTTACATCAGTTTGAATTCGAATAATATATCAGTTTCTCTCTATACCTGTCTTTACATTACAGTCTTAGTTTTATAACACGTTATCAACACGAGACTCTGCCATCTCGAGCAAATACTTTGAAAGTATCTGAGGTACGAACTTTCTTTTTTTATATAATGTCAAATCTTTCTAAACTTGAATTTGTAGCCCTGGATATATCGGGCAAAAGCTACATGTCTTGGGTGCTTGATGCTGAAATTCATCTTGATGCGATGGGTCTGGAAGACACCATCAAGGATAAAAATCAGGCATCAAACCAAGACCGTGCCAAAGCAATGATATTCCTACGCCATCACCTTGACGAGGGCCTGAAAATGGAATATCTTACTATTAAAGATCCAGTCATACTGTGGAATAATTTGAAAGATAGATATGACCACTTGAAGATGGTCGTTCTTCCACAGGCACGATATGATTGGACTCATCTAAGGCTACAAGATTTTAAATCTATTGGTGAGTATAATTCTGCTATGTTCAGAATTATTTCCCAATCGAAATTATGTGGTGATAATATTACTGATCATGATATGTTGGAGAAAACTTTCACCACTTTCCATGCCTCGAATATGCTCCTGAAGCAGCAATATCGAGAGATGGGATTTAAAAAGTATTCTGAACTTATCTCACATCTTCTTATAGCCGAGCAACATAATGGGCTATTAATGAAAAACCATGAAAGCCGATCTACTGGTTCTTGTCCATTCCCTGAAGTGAATGAGACGAACTTCCACCAAGCTATACGTGGAAGAGGTCGTGTCCCCAGTCGTACTCATGGCCATGGTCGGGGAAGAAATCCCAATCATGGTAATAATAATGCACCAAAGAACCCTCCTCGTCACCAGCAGTGGAAAAGGAAGGAACAAAAGCATGAAGCGGTGCAAGCACCAAATGCAGAAAGTGCATGCTATAGATGTGGAGGAAAAGGGCACTGGTCACCCTGAAGAAGACAGAGAAAAATGCTGAAGCAAATTTTATTTCTGAAGATAATTTAGACTTCATGCATTTGGATGTAGCTGATTACTTTGCACTCCCAGAAGGAGAAACAAGTCATGTAATCGGTGGTGAATCTGCAGAAATATAAATATTTTGATTTTTGTTGTTTGTAGTAGATAGTATGGTTATGTAATTGTTGTACATAAAGAAAAATTATGATTTGATAATGATGTTTACTATGATATATCTTATTTATGTCATTTTGAAGAATATGGATAACATTATTAGATCAACTTAAACTCTAGCAGAGTTTGCAAGAAATATACAACCACCAGAAGTGGTTTTCGTATATCTCATTGTAATTATATTTTGTTAACCACCAGAAGTGGTATATGCCTATGATCACCAGAAGTGATAATTTAGGTTTTCTATGGTTACAATTGAAGATAAGCTACATAAATATTCTCTATATTAAATGCACGCCTCGATTTGCTCCTGAAGTAGTAAATATTTTAAAAGAGGTTGAGGCATCACAATTTGATGTGATTAATGCGCATTCAGATAATTATGTTCGATTTTCCTGAAGGATGAGAACTTTTGATAATAATAATCCATTCCCTGAAGTGAATGTGATAATATTAATATATCTGGTAAATATGAACGCGCTCATGATGTAAATATATTACAATTCACCTCCAGAAGAGGTAATATAATTGAGAGAATATATACTCAATATTTCGTATTTTAAATTTGCTCCTGAAGAAGTAATACAATTTGAAATTGCCTCCTGAAGTAGGAGAATATTATGAAGAGGAGTTTTCTTGTGCTTAAACAATTGTTTATTTGATTGTGATTTTCTCTTATGATACCAGAAGTGTCTGAGCAATATCTGATAGTACAAAATGTATCAATAACTCCTGAAGAGCTAAGTGTTTGCCTAGAAGACACATGACACCAGTAGTGTCCGATAAATATTAGATTGTGGATAATAAATGAAGGCTCTCGAAGAGCTTATTTACAAATATGTCATTCATATTATATGATTATGGTCAAAACATATGTTGTAGTAAACTCGAAGTGTACTATAATAAATGGCTATCATATTGAGACTATAAATGATTGGAAAATTAAAAATCTTCATGTTTCCACAATCATAGGGGGTAAAATAATATGTATATGAGAAGTTACCCGCCTTATTCTCCAATTTGTACTACATCATGTATCACGGTAAACCAGAAGTTTACTAATACAAAAATAGCCACAGTAAATCAGAAGCTTACTAATGTAAAAGTTTATGTCATAGTAAACTAGAAGTTTACTAAGAGATAGCACATGCCATGATAAACTTGAAGTTTTCATTTGCCATTTTTAAATGAGCTATTTGAGAACTCAGATAAGCATATACTGAAGAACTAGAAGATTCTTCAAGAATTCTCCTGTGTTGCTTGTTCTCATAATAAATTGATTATACCAGCTAAACTTGGGACTAAGACCCCTGATTCTGAAATATATAAAAGGTGAATATGGGCCCATTCACCTATCATGTCAACCACTTATAGATGCATATATAAGATGATTACATGTATGTTTATTGTCAACCTGCAGTTTGGCATTTGAAATTGCTTTTATCACGTAAGAGCATAATTTTCAGATTATGAAATCAAGACAGTTCATCTTGATAATGCTGGTTTATATACAAGCTAGTTTAGCAGTGAATACCTCCAATTAATGGCTAAACTATTGTTTATGAGAACAAAGCTTCATGTGTTGGTCTAAGATTTTCTAAATTGCATATAGCAGCACTTGTATGCATCAGGCCAACAATATATGATAAGTCCTCCCCTCACAATTGGTTTAGGATCAGAAACCAAATATTTTACTATCTTTTGATGTGTGGTATATGATTAATTTCTCTACCACAATGCACAAAGATATGTTTCCCAAAGAAGTTTGGGGATATATGTTAGTTTTTCTAACATTTGGGGGATGGAATAAACAACTGAAAAATATGCTATATGAATCGAATTATCATTAATATGATCCTCACTTAGAAGATAATTCAAGTCAAATGCCAGAAGCATTTGCTGATCCAAAATCAAATATCATATTTCAGCTGCAAATGGTCCTATTAAAATTTAAAGTCCCTGAAGGATAGAGTTTACTGTACGCATGAAGCGTGGTAGACCAATCGGTTCCAAAGGTAACAATCCTTGAAAAATGATAAGGAGCTAATGATCAAAATGATTATAATGAGGAGGAAATGAGCTCTAGAAGAGCCCACGACATAACATTTCACGAAACTCCAGAAGAAGTTCAGGTGCCTGAAAATAAAGAAATTGATGAGATCTCAACAAGTTATGTCGCTTAGGAACCGATACAAAATGATCGTCGACGATATATTTGATACAATATAGTGCACAATACTGTGAAATATTGTGAGGATCGGACCAGTAGTCCAGACACCTGAAGATGTCATGTCATTTAAATGCGAGTCATCACCTATATGACTCATTTGATTAAATCTCTATAAAGATCCCTGAAGGATTTAAAATGCCAAAAGCATGTAGTTCAAAGTCTCGAAAAATGTACTCGATCAGATTATAAAGATCTTTGTACGGTTTAAAGCAGTCTGGGCACATGTGGTATAATCGCCTTAGTGAATATTTGCTGAAAGAAGGTTACATAAATGATGTTATTTGTCCATGTATTTTTATAAAGAAAATGGCATCAGAATTTGTTATACTTGATGTTTATGTTGATGACATAAATCTTGTTGGAACTCCAGAAGAGCTCCAAAAGGCAATTGAATATCTTAAGAAATAATTTGAGATGAAAGATCTTGGAAAGACAAAACTTTATCTTGGTCTGAACATTTAGCAGACGGGATCTTTATCCATCAATCTGCATATACAGAAAGGATCTTAAAACGCTTTTACATGGACAAAGCGCACCCATTGAGCACACCAATGGTTGTTCGATCACTTGAAGTGAATAAAGATTTGTTCCGACCTCCAGAAGAGGATGAGGAACTCCTTGGTCCCGAAGTACCCTATCTCACTGCAATTGGTGCACTAATGTATCTTGCTAATGCTACAAGGCCTGACATATCATTTTCTGTTAATTTACTACCAAGATACAGTTCTTCTCCTACACGAAGACATTGGAACGGGATTAAGCATATATTGCGATATTTAAAGGGAACTCTTGATATGGGTTTGTTTTATGCTAACAAAGATAGTGCAGATCTTGTTGGTTATGCAGATGCAGGTTATTTATCTGATCCCCATAAAGCACGATCTCAAACCGGGTACGTGTTTACATATGGAGGTACTGTTATATCATGGCGCTCCACAAAGCAATCTATTGTTTCTACTTCTTCAAATCATGCTGAGATAATAGCTATTCATGAAGCAAGTAGGGAATGCGTATGGTTGAGATCAATAATTCATTTTATTCGAGAAAAATGTGGTTTGGAATGTGAGAAAAGACCCACAATTTTATACGAAGACAATGCTACGTGCATAGCCCAATTGAAGAGGGGATTTATAAAAGGAGACAGAACGAAGCACATTTCACCAAAATTATTCTACACACACGACCTTCAGAAAAATGGTGACATTGATGTGCAACAAATCCGTTCAAGTGATAATCCAGCAGATTTATTCACTAAATCTTTGCCAACTTCAACATTTAAGAAAATGGTATACAAAATTGGAATGCGGAGACTCAAATATTTGAAACAAGATTTTCATCAGGGGGAGTAAAATACGCGATGCACTCTTTTTTCCTTACTGAGGTTTCCCATGGGGTTTTCCTTATAAGGTTTTTAATGAGGCACCTGAATGCGTATTACTAAATATGTGTACTCTTTTTCCTTCACTATAATTTTTTTCCCACGTGGTTTTTCCTAGTAAGGTTTTAATGAGACACATTATCTTTTAATGAACATCCAAGGGGGAGTGTTATAAATATATTATATTGTGGATGTTCATTTAGTACTTCGTTGTAAATAAGCTTCCTGAAGAAGCTTATCCATATGGGACTCCGCCGTTAATATGTTTATCTATTGAGTACTCTATTGGAAATAAGCCTCCTAAAGAAGCTTATCACTTCGGTACCCGGTTATGAATAAACATTACCCCCGGTAGAAGATTATCTATATCGAGTATAATAAGCTTATCCTTTCGATACCCGGTTGTGGATAAACATTACCCCCGGTAGAAGATTATTCATATCTGGTATAATGAGCTTATCCTTTCGATACCCGGTTATGGATAAACATTAGTCTCAGTATAAGATTATCCATATCTGGTACAGTAGCAGCTTGCACAGCAGCTTACAGTAGCAGCTTACACAGCAGCTTGTAGCAGCTTACACAGCAGCTTGCAGTAGCAGCTTACACAGCAGCTTCCTTTCTTCTATAAATAGAAGAGATATCAGTTCATTATTTACATCAGTTTGAATTCGAATAATATATCAGTTTCTCTCTATACCTGTCTTTACATTACAGTCTTAGTTTTATAACAATTATATTTGTTCTTGAGCCTATTTTAGACGCGTATCCTATATATGAGTCAATTAGACACTACCTTATTTGGACAAGAATCATATAACTTTCTACTAAAATAAATCATGATTGAGTTTTCTCAGTTGTTGAATAAAATGCAAAAGAAATATCTTATTAATTTATGCATAACAAAACGAGAAGGAGCTGATTTTTTTTTTGAAAAATTTCCCATAAGAATAACTGGATTCCCTACTTTTCAATTTTATAGCTCATATTTTAATTTACATCCAACTAGCCAAAAAATAATAGGCTAATACTCAACATTCAACTCCAATAGATTCTCGAAATTACTATTTAATTTTTAAAAAAGATTGTTCAAGCTTTTAAGTTAATTTTTGAATCAGTAACTGTGACTCAAATATTAGTTCAACAAACCAAATCCATTTGAGTGGTGAAAATTAGATTTTTAACAAGTTTAAATATGTGGGTTTAAATTTCGAA